CTTGAAACTTTAAAGTATGCTAAATTAAATCATATGATGGAAATTCATTGACTATCCAGATCATGTCCAAATAAGATAAAATAGTGAAATATTAACTACTGAACATAGGTTTACCTACTTTTGGCGACCTATTACAGAGAAACTAAAGAAATTTGGGTTTGTTAGTAAGCATGTCTTCTATTTCACTGAAAGATTGTAATATGAAAAAGCATGTATTTCTAGAAGTCATGGAATGTATTTATACATTTATTAATCTAAAGAATACTGCTATAACAAATAGTTTACAACTACTTCTTAATTTTCACTAGAAATTAAGGCTTCTAAGAGTTAAAAATTCTGATTAACACGGAGGGAAATAATATATATATATTCAGTAATGGAAGGGTGTGGAAATACATTTTTGAGGGAATTAAAAGAAAATGGTTTGTTCTAAAATACGCTGGTTCTTTCTGAATGGGTAAGAGAACCAGAGAAAACCTAAAAAGAGCAAGGAAAGTTGTAGGTTTATGAAAAGAAATCTTGAGGAATTGTATATGTGATCAAGCTGGATAAGATTGCATAAATTTGTTAGAAGTGTTTTTTTAAAGCTTTAATATCAATAGTGTTCTCAAACTTAATATGATTTCATCTGCTAAAAAGAGAAAGTTTTCTTGGACTGTTGGTCTGCTCTTGATAAGATACTGTGAAAAGTTTTCTGCCAAGAAAGCAAAGATTTTGTGTTTTATCAAAATAACTTTCTGTGTTTTACGTTGTCTTAATAAGGTCTGAAAACTGAATCTTCTCAATAGTAAGAGCTACCTTTTGTAGTTGAAATTCCCTAGTTGATTTTTACACAAAGGAAGGAGCAACAGAATCTATAAAGATTGTGGCACATGTGAATGAAGTCCATTCTGCTTCTGCAAAAATGACCCCTCAGTGTCTGCAAAAATGACCCCTCAGTGCCAGACTTTTGCTATCTTGATGTCCATTAATATGACAACAGTCTGCTCCTGGATCACAGAAATGAAGGGAGGTAAACAATGGCTGTAAGTTAAACAAATAGGGTTTTGGGAGACCCAAGACAGCTGCCTGGTTCTTTCAGTCTCCCTGGCAAACCCCTTTCTTTTTTTGTTTTTTTGCATTACTTCATCCACCATAGTGTATTTAAGCTGAAGTTCACTCAACTGCCACTTAGTGTGTTATTAATATGCTTTTGTTATACATATGTTTTCCAGATGGATTGACACCTTGCCCTGCCACATGGCTGATGCTCTCACGGTGGCAAAGAAACTGTTAGAATACACCTTGGGTATACCTTCCACAATCTCTAGTGATGGAGGCACCCACTTCACTGAGTAAATCATACAAGCCTTGACAGGAAGCCTTGCAAACTTCTTGGAATTATCACTGACTCTATCTCCGTTAATCACCAGGCAAAGTCTAGAGGACTAATGGAAAAATTGGATGCAAGCAGAACAAGTCTTAATTACATGGCATTGAATGAACTGATGAGGATGATTATAATTTTTATGACTTTTTGTTTGAAACATTTCCGGCTCTTTTTCTTTTTCCAGATATAAAGAAACCTTTCCTCTTAAACTATGACTTACAGCAATTTGGTAAATTATACTTTTGTAAGCATAACTGAAACATTTCTTTTTCTTCTTACTTGGTTTCAGAAACTCTCAGTGAGTATTCTTATTTCCATGGCAATATTATTATTTGCATAAATTCAATACAAATCTATTTTCTTTGTAGCAGGACACGATTGGAAACTGGGTATATTACCAAGGCTTTGACTGGAATGTCATATTTGAGAGAGACATGCATAGGCTCAGATATTACCAGGCAGCTTTAAGGAATTAAGATTGACTAATGGAAGCCAATAAAACCCCCAGAGATATAGGCCAGCCTGGTACTTTGATTACAGTGTTCCCTGTAGCCTTACCAGGTAAGTAAAGTAGGTCACTTACTGGAAGGTGCAGGAAACTCAAGATATTTTAAGGACCTTGGGAAGAGAGGAATTAACCCAAATCTAAAGGTACTGTAGGCGAAGTCTGATGGCAAATCTTTGGCTTGGCTTTTCTAGCCTCAAGAGACCTTTTAAAATTCAGTCTGTAGATTCCTTATGAGAAATTCCAGCAAAGAAGATTTAAAGGAGCCTATATAATCAACTGCTATTCTTGTATTTATACAAATAACAGGCCAAGTTTATTGAAACTAGACTTATTTTGCTAACAAATTAGTCTTAATCTGGCTATCTGTGGTAAAAATGGGCGTGATTTTAGAGTTTCAGTAATATGCTTTGTGGATATTACATTCTAGTGCTGTTCACTGTCTTTTTGAGGTTTTTGTTTTCTACCTATAAACTAGACTGGATGCTGAATTCTTCTAGTTTACTCCAATAACTGGCTGTGACTCTGCAAACTAACATTTCCAATGTTTCTGCCACCCTTCTAACTTGGAATCATTAAGAACTAAAACTGCCCTTTCCCAAAGTCATGCAAGCTAAAGTTAAACAACTTGATATTAACTTCAGAGGAATCACCACAACAGCTCATCTATGCACAATCTTTGTGCCTATTGCAGAAAAATCACTGGAAACATTCAAACTATAAATCAGGAAAATCTAACAGATTGTCACTGCCTGCCCTCACTCCATAGGAGGATGCTTTGAGCCAGACATCTCAAACTCTCCTTGACTGGCTGCCTTGAGAACTCAGAAACTGTGATTATAGTCTGCTCCAAGCATTAACCATTATTTTGTTTGTTTGTTTGTTTACATAGAGATGCCTCTATGCTTATTTAAATAAACTTGGCCTGTTATTTGTATAACTACAACAAGAATAGCAGTTGATCATAAATACCACAGGCCTAAGTTTAGGAGCCCACCTGCATCACTGCCTCCTGAAATGAGACACAACTGTTTAACTGAACTGACCTATTCTCAAAACTGAAACTGCTTTAGTGAGATATGGAACAATCTATTAAACTCAAGTCCTGGAATGTGAAAATTCTCAGGAATTTCAAATTCAGGACTAAAGTTATTCAAAACAGGATTCTCCAAGATATGCTTTGTGGTGCATGAATTATTTTGAGCTGAAGGCAATGAAGACCCTGTGGGTTCAGGAGAACTTTTATCCACTTTCCTTAAAGAATTTAAATTGGGGGCCTTGCCCGTAATAAGTGTTATTATCAGAAATAACTTTTTACGACCTATCTGAAGGGTAGGCAAACATCTAATCACTGAACATCTACTCTTCTTATCATCCTGCAAATGACTCTCTTCCCATCGTCCTGCAAATGACTCTTCCCTTCTGAAGCCCCAAGGCATCCTATCTCATCCTTAGCTCAGAATGTCATATACACCTCTGTCTCTGAACCTCTCATGTATGTGGGGGTCTCTGACTCTCCCATGTATGTGGGGTTTCTATAAATATACATATAATTAAATTTGTTTTCTTTTTAATCTGTCTCATGTCAATTTAATTATTAGACCGGCTAAAATAAAATTTCTTTCTCCCCGCAGTCTAGACATTAACTCCTTTTTATATAGAAACAGAAAATATTTCTGCGCCCTAAATGTCGACTAATTTTCCAGAAATACCACTGCCATGTTAGAGGGATGATTGTATTTTGTTTTAGAAAGCTTTACCGAAATTGTTTATCTTTCCAGAAAATCCCATCACTCATGGATACTATTGCATTTGTAGCTTTCGATGCCTGAGGATTCTACCTCTGCCAATATTCTGAAATTTCAGAATGTCTTTTATATTTGGGCCCAAACATTTACATATTGGAACACCTATTATATAATTATAATTTATTTTGTCATCTTTATCTTACAGTTAAGCCATGCATTGTTTATAAACACTATGCGTGTGAGTGAGTTAAATTATCTGTGGGTTCTATTCCTGGAGTGCGGGTTGGTCTTCAATCCAGTACTCATGTGGTCCCGACCCTTGGGTCTCGCACAGGTTCCCGCGGAGCG